TATGTTGCTCATCACTGCATCGCACAGTGCATCGCTGCAAATGCGGCCCCATTTTCCCGCCCAAGGGAAAAAAAATAAAGAAAAAGAAAAGAAAAGAAAATATGTGGCTGGTAAATCTTGTGAGTTAGTACCATTTTCTACTTAAGTAATTAGATGATAACTTTATGTGCAATTAACATAAATATATATTACCTTTCTTCCTTCTACCAAAATACAATTTCTCATTCTCCACATGTTTGCAAGCCATAGCACCAATTTAACCAAAGGTATGAATTTTTAAATTAAAGGCAAAACTCTGAAGCATCGCCAACGTCTTCGCCCATGGAGGCACCGGCCTCCGCACGATGCTCAGCTAGCCTCCGCTGTGAGGAAACCGTTCCTTCGCGTGCAGAGGCAGCAGGCACCACATGTGGACGACCCAGATCTCCTCGAACAGCCTCCGCACCGGAGGGAGGGACCCAGATCTTTGCGTGAGAAGGCAGTGCCTCCGCACGCGGGGGACCCAGACCTCCGCGTCCGGAGACTGTGCCTCTGCATGTGGAGGAGGAGGAGCCATTCCTCCGAGGGCGGAGGCTCAAGCGGAGGATCCATTCCTCCGCGTTCGGAGATCTGGTGCCTTCGCACGCTGCGGTATAATCGAGTCCCCTATGTTTTCCATTTTGTAGTTTTAGATCCAAATCTTTAAATATAAGATAAGGAATCTCTAAACTATTTATATACGTCAACATGAGTCTTCAAATAGTAGGAAAAAGTCGACGTTGACCGCTTTTGCAACCCAAGAACAAACTATGTTTAATACGCGGAGTTGACTATATCAAATCCATTATATGGGAAAAAAGTTTTAGCCATTGGTTCACTAAATTCTTGATTGCATTTTTAGGAGAAAAAAATAGAGAGACGGTAAGTTCTTTAAGTGACATACATAATCCTCTATTATGATAAACACTATTAATGTTATTGAACCTAATATTTGGTTATTGATACAGGTTTTATGCAGTTTGGCGGCTATTTTTAATAGGTCAAATAATTTTATCCATCACTATTTCGATCCGTACGCAAACGCTCCACCATTTTTTGGTACCTTTCTTTTTTCCCATATTTATATTTATATAGTATTTACATATTTATATATAAAAAATTTATTAATTTGTGCAGATGTCTCTTGAATATATTCTTCCTCCAAATCAATGGTTCTCTGCTGTCATCACCTAATTTCCAATCCATCAGTATATTAA